TAAGGGTTTCGTCATATGGTCAAGTATGGCTCTGATACCAACTGAAACAACCCCGATTTCCACGAAGGGAAATCCACAGAGTCAAAGTGTAATAAGACCGTTGTAGATCATGTTACCCAAATTCCAGTCGAATATCACATCCATACAACGATAACATCAGAGTACAAATAGTGCAGAATTACATAATTTATTACATCGCCGTATTGGCGGAATCAAAAGTAGCATTCATTCAGAACAGCTTGAAGATAAGATCGCCAAACTTGAGCGTAGGAACGAACCCCTCATCCGTCAAACTCCTCGGAGCTATACTCCTCAGCAAAACCTGTGTGCCAAAATTTATCAGTACGATTTGTACTGGCCACTCCCAACCATATGAGCATTGCTTTGTGGAAATTGGATACAAATTGGTTATAATCAAGAGGAACCTAAAAGGCTGGGGTTTCCTATGCATTAACATACCAAGTATATAATAATAGTTGGTCAAGTTTTAACACCACTCGCACACATTCCACCCCATTCCCATTCCGGAGCCAGGTTTGGATCCTGGGATCGATAAACCACCATTTCCACACCATCACCATATCACAGCCATACCATCGCTCAGTCGACAGGCCAACTCCCTCTCAGTACTGTCTCAAGGCCCGTAGCCGCTGGCTACGTCCGAACACTCACTCCCAGGGGAGAATAGAAAGACTCATCTCACTATCTAGTTTAAGCGAAACCCAGAAAAGGTCCATAGCCGACAAGTCGGCATATGTATCGATCGATCAACCATACACTCTGTAGAGGTTTTACATAACCACAAGATCCGCCTTCCTCGTGACCGACCGTCGTCAACTAGGCTCGATTCCGCTTGCTAGCCTAGGATAATGCCACTCTACCATTCACCTGGTACACCCCAAGTCCGGTCTAGGGTGGTCAAATCGTGAGTCATGAGCCGGGTCCACAAGGTCTCCATGAAGTCTCGGAAGGGTGTGGGGAAATCCTCCGCACCCGTGCCTCCTCCTTACACCGTCCGCTAACAACCCCGACAAGAGTGACAATATCCTACCAAGTAGTCCACCGTCCCGCACATATAGGGGGCGAGTGGTACGTAAGGCTTCCCGGTGAATCTGAGTACTAGTAAGTCCTTAGGGATGACCAAGCCGTAATGTCTTCATCGGGGTTTCCATTTACCGTGCCACCACACACACCTCCACCACCGGGCTCCTTCCATCACAGTTCACACCTGTGGCCACCTCATATACCATTTACCCACCACGGTATCCATTCCGGGGTGCCTGTGTAGCACCCCACGGCAAGACTTGCCCTGTGCTCGTCAGATACTCCAACTTGGTCGACACAACCCTCACCTCCACGCACCCAAGTCACACACGCAAAGCACTCTCCCTAATCACCAGTTTCCACCACGCATCAATGTAGTGTAAGCGTAGTAGAAATAATAAGCAATGAAATATAATAGTAAGCGTGTGACTAGCCTAACAGCAGGGTGAGCAGGGGTAAGGTTGCGTCAAGGCAAAAGGCCATCAAGAAAGCATACTACCATGCAAGTCCTATCATAGTGTGATCATGACAATAAAGTAAGCGCTAGCATTTCTATATTAGCCATGCGTAATAGGTGCTACGAGATTGGGTGGGATGTGGCACCTTCAGTGTAGTCGTCTCCGTACTCCTCACGGTACTCACGATCCTCATCCGTCCGGTTTTCCTCCGAGTCTGCAAACGACCGCATTATAGTCGCGTTAGCGACGTCTATGGAATACCACAAAGAAGCAATGAAAATTCAAAAGAGCCAAATGCACTCAAACATGGGTTCATTGCGTAGAGCTCGATTTTAGATGAATTTTGGTTCTGGTTTCGTATTTTTCCGATGTCGTATGAATTAGTTATGAATTTCCGAAGATTAATTCCATTTCTGAAAATAGAAAAAGGCTGAATTAATCCTGGGCTGACACGTGTCACGCTGTGGTTGGTCCACGTGGCTTGCTGACGTCAGCATGACGTCGTCAACGTCATGCTCACCGACAGGTGGGTCCGGTCAAGTCAACGTCGGTCAACGTTAGTCAACGGTCAACAGTCAGGGTCACTGACAAGTGGGGCCTAGGCTGCTGACGTCAGCAGTTGATGTCAGCGTGACGTCATCATGACATCACCCCGGCTGCGCTGGCTTCCGACGTGTGGGTCCCGCGTGACGTCATCATGACATCAGCATCTGACGTGCGGGTCCAGGGTGTCCTTGTCACCGACATGTGGGGTCAGGTCAACGGTCAGCGGTGACCAGTCAACGGTCAATACGGGCTGGGTCTGAACTGGGCTCGGGTTGGGCCGGTCTGGGCCGGGCCGACCCGGACACGTGGCGTGCTGTGGCTCTGCCACGTCGTAGTCGTGGGCTCTTACTGGGCTGTGGTCCACAGGCGTGGTCCACGGTGGACGCAAGTTCACGGTCCATGGTCCTAAGGCAGGGTCCATGGTGGACCAAGTCCATCTCTCTTCTCTCTCTCTGTGGTTCACGTGCACCGGGTGCATGGGCATGTGGCCGGCGAGGGGAGGTGTTTCCCCTGTTTCTTACCGCGACAGTGCTCCTGCCGGCGGCGAGCTCACGGTGAGCCCCCGCGGTGGCGCTGGTGTCCGATTGAGGAGGGGAAAAGCTTCCCTGGGCCACGGCGACTGTGTTAGTGGGGTCAAAGTGGCGACCAGAGCTTCCCCAAGGTGCTAGCCACGGCGAGCGGCGGCTCGAGCTTCACCGACGTGCGGGAATGGCGCGGGGCTGCGGCATAGGCCGGTTCTGTGGTGCGCGTGGGTGACACAACGCCCCAACGGGCATGCTAGGCAGGTCGAGGGGTCCTCTAGGGCCTCCGGTGGCTTTGGCCACGGCGGCGCCCTTCCGAGCTCGACGGCGGTATCGGTGAGGTGTCTACGGTCATGGTAAAACGTCTCGGCGGGGCGTGCACGCTTCTGTGGATTCGTGGGAACGCGACGAGGTCATCCAGACTCAAGGCGAGGCTCGGTTCTCCTGTGGCCGGTGGGGACATCCCGGCGGCCACGGCGACGGTGAAAACGATGGCGAGGCACGCGGGTGAACCACGGGACTCCAGCGGGGTGGTCACGGCGTGCGCGTGAGTTACCCGCGGCTCAGCTAACGGGATGGGCGAGTCAAGGAGGCGCCAGGCGCTCCCAGCAGTACTGGCCACGGTGGTCGGTGCTCGAACCGGTGGTCTGGTGCTCGGCACGGTGGTCTGGTGCGCCATGGCGGCGGCGTCGACGGCGATGCACACACTGGTGCGCTATGGGCTCCGGTGGGGTGTCACGGTGATCTCGGTGTGCGCGTGGGTGCATGTGTTCCAAGTGGCTGAGGCAAGGCATTGGCCTACGCGCTTCCAGGTGTGGAGCGCCATGGCCGACGGTGAAGACGACGGCAGAGAGGGATCGGAAGGCTCACCGTAGGTGTTGTGGGAGATAGGATGGCGGTGCAGTGTCAATTCAAGGCCGTGTAGCTCCGAAAGCCGTGCAGTGCCGTGCCGACCCGCGTCGGTGATGTAGCCGACGACGCGTCGCTCCCGGCCCCGGCGATCTCCTCCCCACGGCTTTTGCGTTTTCCCCCCTTCTTCCTCTTCTCCCTCTTCTCTCTAGGTTTGGGTGCGTAGTGGATGGCCACCGAGGTGGCGGGCGGCAACCGGACGGCGCTAGGGCTCCGAGGACCGTGGCCTTTATAGCCGAGCTCGACCATGGAGCTCGGTGATCGGGCGGACAGGATCAAGGGCAATCGCGGGCGCTTGCTTGCATCCTACGGTCATGAGGGGTTGCGTGGGCGCTGGCGCCAAGGGGAGACAAGTCCATGCCCGGGCATGACCCCGCCCACCCCGCCATTTGTCGGGGCTCTGCTGCTGGTGGTTTGAGCGCGTGGCGTGGGGGAAGAAGCTGATACCTGGCAAAGCGGGTCCGATTAGCGGTGTCATGAAGGAAGCCGATAAGCGGTGGGGTAAAGGTACATGGCCGACGAGACGGGCTAATGTGGCCAATGATCGTGGCTGGCCGACTTGGGAAAGGCTTGTGGCGTGAGCGGCCCATCGGGCCGGCTTTGTCGGGTGCTGCACGCCGGGCATTGAGGTTGTGGGTGCTGGGCTTGCAAGTGCCGAGCGAGCAGTCGAGCCCATGAGGCCTTCTTCTTCCTTTTCTTTTTTCATTTTACATTTCTTTTTCCATTGTTTGAATTTCAAATTTGGTTTAGAATTTGAATTCAAAACTGAGGTAAATTATTCATTGGAGTTTAGAGAATTTTGTTTAATAATAACTTTATGATTTATTATTTTAATGGAATTGTTAGGCATAACATAAAGCAAATGGAAATACAATTCACAACTTGAATTAACAATGTATGCAACATGTTATTTGTTAGAAATTTAATAATCATAATCAACAAATGATATGCCATGCTTATGTGTTGACTTAGATTGGGTTACTTCTAATGCAACTCTTAGGGTTGGCTCCTACAATGTCACTTATCATCACATGAGAGTTTTAAGAAAAATTTTGTAGTTGTGTTTTTTGATGTGTGGATTTCTGGGTTGTTACATCAGTGATCCGAATGAAATAATCATGAACTAGCAAACATCCGAGCAGTAACACTACTTGTTTCTCTTAAGAAAGGACTGACCACTGACCTTCCGAGGATATCAAGACTCGGTCAAAAAAAACTAAGTATCTGAGCACCATCAAATAAGAAATTCAGATATTGCTCTTGTGTGGCTTCCGACCCAAAATGAGCTGCATCACCACCCATTAGACTGCTCTCAACTATCCCAATTGCAGACTTGAAATCCTTCCTCACTATAAGACTCACCCCAGAATGAGTCTCACTAACTGAAAAAGGAATTTTAATATTGACTAATTCTTAGAGCAAACACTAAAAATTAAAAAAAGAAGCAATATTAAGCTAGTGTTTAGGCCCCCCTGTCCCCCTCGAACAAAATGAATGAATAAGAGCATCTCCATCAGGGCAATCAGTGATTCAGATATTGTGGTTGTGCTGCTGCACAGAGCACAGTACACCCCACAGATACCAAGAAGAAAACAGAGCAGATCAGACGACCAGAGGCCATTCTCTGTCCCCCACCAGTGTACTCGACTTGGAACAGCCTTCTAGCTCAAACTGAAGAATCTCACGGTAAGGGGACACAGCGGCCTCCGAACCGTCAGCAAGAAGGCGTGGGCACACATCAGTAGCACTACTCCCACCCCTCCTCGACGGGCCCGACCAGATCAGATGAGAATGAATGAAATCTGCCTGCCCAGATGGAGCCAGACGAACTAGAGGCAGAGGTGTGTGCAGAAGACGGAGAGGGGAGGGTGCGGGGTTACTCACTCTCCGTCTGGGAGAAAACGGCGACGCGGAGCGCCCAGATGTCGAAGAAGCCGAACCAGACGGAGGCGAGGCGGAGGGAGCCGACCAGCATTAGCCACCACCCCGGCGCCGGCACGCCCTTCTTCCTCCCCTCCGCCGCCATGCCTGTCCGCCAGGCAGAGCTGCGCAGGAAGGCCGGTCAGGTAGTGGTGTACTGGCGTAAGCAGCGGGCATTCGGTCTAGCCGAAGCGATCGGTTCGGTTCTTTTTTTTTTTTTTGATAAAAGGCAAATTTATTAATTAGCTGCAAGATGCCATAATGATGGTGATTGCATCACCTAGTACTGGCTCGGCTTGACTTATTGTGTCTCAACCGATTTACATTTTTCTAATAGCTCGTTTAGTTAATGAGCTAGTTTGAGTATGGTTTAGACTGTCTCCAACGGGCCGAACGCAAATACGGGACGCATTCCTTCTTATAGGTCACGCACAGGGAAAAGCTCCGGGACGCAAAACTCCACGTTTCCATGGCGATGCGGCTCCTGTCCACGCCGCCCCCACTCTTCCCGAGCCCTGGCCCGAAGGCACCCGCCTCCGTCTCCGCATCATCTTCCTCCAACTCCTCCGCGTCGCTGCTTGCAAGGGCGTCTGCGCTAATTTGGCGCTGCCGCTGGCGGGCGGGTCCGACCGGACGGCGGACACTCGAGGGGGAGGCGCGAGCTCTAGATCCGGCGCCACCATGCGGCCGAGCTCCGGCCCTGGCGTCGATGTGCCCGAGCACCACCCGCGCTCGCCATCAACAGTCGCCGGAGCCGGGCACCACCAGGGCTGCTGCCAGTCGCCGAGCTCTGCTCTCCCTCTGTTCCGCCCTCTCTTCCCCGCGCTCTCTCTCTGAATCCGCTCGCTTCAGAGCTGAGCCGAAATGACTAATGACTTCATGATCCTTGCTAATGAAGCCCTCACAGGAGAAATCGCTGCCGCCGGCGGTGGCGTCGGAGATTTGGGTAGTGAGGAGAGAGGTGATGCTTTTTTGCGTATGGATTGTGCCGGTACGCAAAATGGGTGATGTTTTTGCGTCACCCGTTGGAGGCTGTTTTCGGTAGGCAAAGCAACTGTGCGTAACGCATTTTGGGTTTGCATCTCCTCATTGGAGACGGTCTTATGAGCTAACTTATAAGCCAAACGAGTTGGCTCGACCTAGAAAACGAGCCGAGCCAAGCTAGTTTATTTGCTTAACAAGTTAGCTCTGGTGGCAGAACTAGAGGGGCCGGCAGCCCCCCCCCCAAACGAGTTGGCTCGACCTAGAAAACGATCCGAGCCAAGCTAGTTTATTAGCTTAACAAATTAGCTCTGGTGGCAGAACTAGAGGGGCCGGCAGCCCCCCCAAACGAGTTGGCTCGACCTAGAAAATGAGCCGAGCCAAGCTAGTTTATTAGCTTAACAAGTTAGCTCTGGTGGCAGAACTAGAGGGGCCGGCAGCCCCCCTCCTCAGCGGTCCAACCCATCAGGAAGCAGAAACGTTGCAGAGATCGTCGTAGATTGGGTGGTCGTTGCCAGCTCGCCACGAGTAGGAACTGGCGGTGCGATTAGAGCGTCTCCAACATATTATATATATCCTCCATTTCCTAAAAGTTTATATAGGTTGTAGAATAACTTCTTTTTTTTCAATAAATTAGCAATTCCTTTAAAATGAATAGTGAAGAGGATGAATCTCCTACATTTAAGTGAGATGTCGGTGGATTTTAAGTAGTTATTTAAAACTTTTAGGTATTGAGAGTAGGATGAGTAATCTTTTAGATCAACCATAATCTCGTATACTCCATCCGTTTCAAATTATAAGTCGTTTTAATTTTTTAGTACATCAATTTTGCTATGTATCTAGATATAACGTATATCTAGATACATAGCAATTTCAATATACCAAAAAAGGTCAAAACGACTTATAATTTGGAACAGAGGAAGTATTACATATTTTTAATATCGGAGATCAAATAAATAATCCATTAGAGATGCTCTTCGTTGGGAACAGTCAGGAAGTGGCGGCGGCGTGGGGGAGACTAGGAGTCACTTGAGGAAGGTTGGTTGGGTGGGAGTAAGGGCATGAGAGTCGGACTGGGCTATTATGGGGCTGTTTGGTTACCCGGCTAACCTCTAGCCAAGTTCTAGTAGGCTAGCTGCGAGATGTTTGGTTGCCTGGTTTGGGCACATAGCCAGGCTTAGCTAAGTCAAGGAGGACCCCTTAGCCAGGCTTCCTAGAAACGGATCGCCAAGTCGTTTCCCACTAGCCACCTTGGCTAGCGCATCCCTTCCTCCGCTCTCCTCCCTCCTCGCTCTCGTGCTGCACCGCTGTCCCTGCTCACATCTCCCCACGCCTCCGTCAAATTCGGCTAGGCCCGCGCCTTCGCCGGATCCCACTGGCCCCGCCTCCGCTGGATCCCACCGGCCTCGCCACCGCCAGTTCCCATGGACCCTGCCTCCGCTGTGAAAGGGATCGTGATGCCTAAGAGGGGGGGGGGGGTGAATTAAGCAACTTAAAATTCTAACTCTAAACTATGACCTCTTTTTCTACCTAGTCAAAACCTATGCAAGAAAGTAATCTATCTAAATGTGCAACTACGGTTTTGCTAGTGTGTTGCTATCTCTACCGCAAAAGAAGTTATGTAAACAATGTAAATGCGGAAGCTAAAGAGTAAGGTAGAGATATACAAACTCCCATCGACGACTCTGGTATTTTTACCGAGGTATCGAGGAGCGCGTAAGCTTCCCCCTAGTCCTCGTTGGAGCCCCTCGCAAGGAATCCCTCGCAAGGGCCAAGCTCCCGGTCGGGTAACACCATGGATAGCCCCGGGCCTTCCCCACACGCAATTGGGTCTCCGGTGTGCCTTCTGGCAAGCATATCCCGAACCGCTCCCCGCTGTCTTCACTATCAAACTTCTGTCTGAACCGTTGCGGGCCTTGTTCCCTTCGGTACACGATGGCGGCCACACTATAACACCCTAGGTGTTAGCCTTGCATAACTTGACTTGCATAACATGAGCATGATCATCAACCATTCATAAACAAGCATTTACAATTGAAACATTTGATTGAAACATCTGTAACATTTGCTTGTTATCGCATGTTTCTTTGAACATATGCAACTTTTCTCATTATTTCATGTTTCCATGTGTTATTGCATATGATCTTGAGCGTATACATGTAGATGGTTGATTTGAGTCACAAAAATATATTGGCAACACTTAGGTTAGCAAATGGAACTTAGTTCATGAATGTCATTTCCCATGATCAAGCCCTTAAGTCATGTTTCATGTGATTACATTAAATAGCTCTATGAGTGACTAATACATGAAATGATTGTATGACCTTGCAATTAGCCTAAACATGTTTAGAGTGTCATTATGAACAACTTTGATATTCATAGCTAGGGCTAAATAGATCACTAAGCCATAGTTCTTGTTCAAGTCATCATTTGAATGTAGCTTGTTTGACCAAGTTTGAACTATGTGTTAGATACCTTGCATGGAGGAGATCACTAAAGCAAAGTTGTAGTATTTGCTATAAGGACCAACTTTTATTTTTGGGTCATTAACTGATTTAGCTTCTAACATGCTTGAATTGGTCTCACAAGAATCAGCAAAATCAACATTTCAACACTTATACAAATTTTTCTAAGTCGTGTTCACTGACCGACTGACAGGCTGACTTTGGGGGTGATTTTACTCAGTCTTGGTTGCGATTTAGCACGAGTTCACTGAAAGAGAATTGTAGCTGGCACGTTAGACTTCAACTTTGATGTACGAAATTTTTGCTGAAAGTCCATGGTCACGAAGTTTTCTTCACGGCAAAACTCGCTGTCAGGCTGATCGTCGCGTTCACTGATGAACTGAATTGATCGGCACAGTGGCCAACCGTCGCTAGGACAGAGCCGCTGCGTGGAGGTCGCGTTGGCCACGCGTCGCCGTTGCCCTGACCGCGCAGGCCACGACGCGCCTGAGCCCGGCATTACCACCCCAGCACCCGCCCGCACTCAGCCGCGCCCTCAGTTTCGCATTCCCAGCTCCTCCTTCGCCGTCCACTCGCCCGCAGCAGCTGCAGCCTCGGCACCGGGAGCTCGCCATCACCATTGAAGGCGCCAGCTCGCGCCTAGCTCCTCCATCACCACCGCAGCCCTCCACCGCCTACCCAGCACCCCATTGCTTCTCCCAGTGCCTGCTACCGGTGCTCGGTAAGCTCCAGCGCGGTGCAAATCCTCGCCGGAGCATCACCGCGAGCCCCGTCACCGTGGCCGGAGCGCCACCGTCCGCCTCTCCAGACGTTAGCTAGCGCGTTGAGTTCGTTTTGGGTAGTATATGCTCATCCGAGCTTGAGCTTGCTTCGCCGTGGCCTCCTCCAACGTGCCGCCATCGTTCCGCCCCGCCGTGCCACCATAATCACCGCCGTAGCCGCTAGCTCCGACGAGAAGGCCACCCACGTAGCTCAATCGATGCGCCAGGTCACGTAGATCATCGTGTGACGATGTCACCGCCGGCAAGTTCGCCGTCGGTGAGCTTTGGCCGCGCCACCGTAGAGCAGCGTAGCAACTCTGTTCTTGTCTCGATGACATGTGGGGTCCTCTGACCGACGGGTCCCACCGGTCAGCGACTCTATATTTGAAAGCTAGTTCATTTGATTCTAGATTTTGAATTGTTTTGTGATTTTTATATCTCCAGTTCGGTAGCTTCAAAAATTGTGCAATAAATTGTGTAGTGTTCCTTAGGAAGTGTAGTATTTAGGAAAATATATTCTTGACATTTACAGTAGAAATTTTTGGATATTTAAATGGAGATTTGAAATGTGTTTTTGAATGCATGCAAATTTGTTTATTTTATATCTAGAGTTCCTGTGCTCCAAAAATTATGAAATTTTTGTGGTAAGCTATTCTTGACATGTAGGAGCTCTGGTAAAAAATTGAGGATCAATGCATGCATAGATTTGTAGTTATAGATTTTTTTTTTATAATTAGGAGATCCTTGTGTGAATTTTTATAAATTATTTAGGAATCCAATATTCTTGAAATTTGTTGGAGGTTATCCTAGTAGTATATGGATGCTAAGAAAAATAGGAAATCTGTTGCTTGACACTTTTCAATAGGGTTTTCTATTTATGCTATTTCAAGCCTTGCTGC